AATATTTCCAAGAGATCAAATTCGATGACGAGGAACCCACTTTGAGACTAATAATGGCTGGAGACGGCTTTAATGATGATGACAAAACCTTGTCGAAACGTTGTACATTTGCTGTTATGTTAAACTTATATTAAAGTTTTTCTTCATTACCCATTCAAGCAGTCTCCAGCCATTATTAGTTCTAAGAGATAATTGAATAAATAGAGTTTAACAACTATATTTATTCAATTTCCAAGAGAGTTAATCAGAGATTAGAGAGGGTGCTTAAATCTTGGTTAAAGAGAGGCATATTTAACGTAACAGCAGATGATTTGACTGAATATTAGTATTTTTCAATGTTTCTTCATGAAAACCATTTCAAAACTGTTTAAGTCTGTGATGGAGATTTTTGATAATGTTATTCTCCTAATAAGTCTAGTACATATGGATTACGATAAAGAGTTATTAAACTAGAACTACTGAGCTAGAAGTATGCAGCTTAAGAATTGGAAAATCTATGAGATCTTTAACAAAATGTTGCTTCCTAAAATAACTATAACCGATTAAAAAATCCACTATAACACTACTGTTTGAAAAACAACCCTTGTGAAACACAAATTTGCTTTCATATAAAATGTTCATTTATAGTATTATTTGTTTCAGAAATAAGAATTTAAATAATTTACAGAATAATGTATAAAATAAATACTAGCATTATGGTGTCCCAACAGACACACATTAGTATGTTTTGCTGGTGACGCCAAACGTTCCAGGCTTCTTTACGTATTGTATAAATGCCTATCACATCCACTTTTCTTCTAGAAAATATAACTTTTAAATAGTCTCGCCATCTAGTGTAAAGCAATAAAACTACTCAACTCAAATCGTGGTAAAATATCTGGTATTATTATCATCATTAAATTAGCCATAATAATTTCAGAATCACCTTCCACATTAAGCACTGAGCTGCAATCAATTAATATATTTGTAAACCTCACAGTCTTTCAGGGTTAGATTTCCTATTAGGTAAAGTATAGATATACGAAGTGACATATAATATAATTAATCAGAGGAGGGACAGTTTTCTACTTTTTACCAGTTTTCGCATAATTAACGATATACTTAACATTTCAAAATAGTTAATTTCTATTGAATAATTAAAAATTAAATTTTGGACGCTACTTGAATTATCTTTATCGATCTTGTTCATTACATATGCAACTATATGATCGACACATTGGGTTTTTATTTTTTAAATACAAAATTAAGGAAACATATTGGTATTAATAATTAAAATTATAATGTGTTTATTAAGATTCATACGTAATGGCTCAGGCAAGTTAGAAAAATACATCAGAAGCTACGGAAAAAGAATGAACATCACTACAACGGATTTACACCGAGAGGCATTTGGATTTGTAGAACCCTGTCATAGTATTTTGATTTGTAGAACCATGCCTAGTCCTGAAAAGGCCCGTTTGTTGATACTTGATCGATGATGACTTCTCGTCACCGGGTTTTGCCTTGTCTTCACTTTGGCCTCCTCCATCTCGTCACGGCTTTCTCTCTCAAGTTAGCATCCAACACTATGTTACGTCTCCGTTTG